GACCTAAGCTCACTGCACCTGTCCAGACCCCCATTAGAGTACAATCTACCTCCCACAATACCCTGCAGAACAAAATGGGTGACCCTCTGTCATTGCTTTGTGAGCGTATGAGTGTCTGCCCTGACACTGGCAGATCATAGGGCCAAATCCACAGTTGGGTCATACCAAAGACTTTAAAAATGGGACCCAGTGCCTCCCCGCTTGACACTCAGCATTAAGGAGCTGGATTGGGGGGTTAAACCACCAAATAGCTCCTGAGCGCAGCCACTGCTACAGCTCACCACTCTCCACGGAGATGGGTCACATGCAGAGATGTAATTTCACTAGTGTGTGATGATGTCTAATGGGACTTTAACTTTATGGCTGGAAAAGCTTTTTGAGGCAAATAAACTTTTTTCTAACAAATTCTGTAAAGTAAGTAAGTAAATTTTATTTGTATAGCACTTATCACAGACATAGAATCACAAAGTGCTTCACGTAGATCAAAACAAAATAAAACAAAGTCATAAAATCGTGAACAGATTAACATCATAAAATCAAAATGTTCTCTAAACAGAATTAAATAAACATCAGAAAAAATAGTCATAAAATCATAAATTTTCATAAACAGATGAAAGATTAAAAATTTGAGTTAAAAATAAGAAAATAAATGGTTTAGTTAAAAGCAGCTTTAAATAAAAGGGTCTTTGGCTGTTTTTTTAAAAGTGTCCAGACTGTCAATGCTGCGTAAGGATAAAGGAAGATCATTACAAAGTCGGGGTGCAACAGTCTGGAAGGAGCGATCACCTCGACTTTTGTATCTGGTCTTTGGAACTTCTAGAAGGTTCTGGTGTGTGGACTTGGGGGCTCGGGTTGGAGCATAAGGCTTTAAAAGTTCAGTAATATAGGGAGGAGCTTGACCATGTAAAGCCTTGAAAGTTATAGTCAGGATTCTAAAATGAACTCTAAAGTTGATGGGTAACCAGTGCAGAGACATTAGAATAGGAGTGATGTGTGCTCTTCTGTTTGCTCCAGTTAGGAGCCTCGCTGCAGAGTTCTGGACCAACTGAAGGCGGTCCAGGGCTTTTTTGTTAAAACGTGAAAAGTGTGTTACAGTAATCTAGGCGGGAGGACATAAAGGCATCATTTCAAGTTCATGTTTTGACACCAACCTTCGCAGTTTGGAGATATTTCTTAAATGATGAAAACAGTTTCGGACCAACGTTTTTGAGTGACCTTCAAGAGACATTGATTGGTCAAAAATAACACACAAGTTCCTTAAGTTTGTCTTGACGGCAGACGATAAATGACCAAGTTTTAAACTAATCAGGGGAACCATGCTCTCAGGGGCAATGATCAGACATTCAGTCTTTTCAGAGTTTAACTGAAGGAAGTTATCTTCTAGCCACCTGGTGATAGCTGATAGACACTCTAGTAATTCAGACAGTTTGTAGAACTCAGAATCCTTAAAGGAGTAGTGCAGCTGAATATCATCTGCATATAGGTGATAAGAGACATTATGAAAAGAATCAAGTATCTGTCAAAGAAGGTGTATGTACAGCAGAAACAACAGTGGACCCAAAACAGAGCCTTGGGGTACCCCACAGAACAGATCAGTAGAATCTGACATGATTTGGTTTATACAGACACTGTAACTTGTGCTAGAAAGGTACGATCTAAACCAGAACACTTCCAGAGATCTCCATCGAGTCACCAAGTCTGTTATTTAAGGTGCTGTGATCAACAGTGTCAAAAACTGCAGAAAGATCTAACAATACTAGCACTGTGAACTCCCCGTTGTCTGCAGCCATCATGGTGTCACTGGAAACTTTAAGCAAAGCTGTTTCTGTTGAATGCTTTTTACGAAAACCAGACTGGAATTTATCAAAACTGTTGTGCAGTTCCAGAAATGTAATCAGTTGATCTGCCACAACCTTTTCCAATATTTTAGAGATAAAGGGTAATTTAGAAATGGGTCGGTAATTTTTAGGCTGAGATGAGTCCAAACTTGGTTTTTTAAGGACAGGTTCAATAACTGCATAATTGAAAACAGATGGTACAGAGCCAGATTGTAGGGATAAATTAATAAAATCTACAATGCATGGGCCAATTTGGTCAAACATCCTGATTAACAAGGAAGTATGAATGAAATCTGCAGGGCATGAGGTTGGTTTCATGTGTTTCTGAATGAGGCAAATGTCCTGGAAATCTACAGCAGTAAAGAAAGACCATGATAGAGAGGGAGGGGTTGGATGGGGGGGGGGGGGGGGGGGAGGAAGTAGATGGGGGTGAAAAACTTGCCCTGATATTTCTGATTATATTCTCAAAGAATGCTAGAAAGTTGTTACAGTCAGACCTTGAGTAAACCGGTATAAGAGGGGCGTGAGGTGAAACAATCTGGTTTATGGTGTCAAACAGGAGTTATTTTTTGTTTACAGCAATCAACTGAGCAAAGTAAGTGGCCCTGGAAGTTTTCACCGTCTCATTCAGGGATGTCATCAGTTCTTTAAAGTGCAGCCTGTGACTTTCTAATCTAGTTGACTTCCAACGTCTCTCGGATCTGCGGCATGTCCTTCTGAGACTGTAAATATTTTGATTAATCCAGGGACTTTTTCTCTTGCTAGAAAAAGTAACCTTAACAGGAGCTACTTTATCTAAGATATTGCAGCATTTTTTATCCAATGACTGGATCAACAAGCTTTGATCATCACCCTGAACTGAGCTGCTGTCAAATAATGTAGAAAATCCATCCACTGCTGACTGATTAATGATACGTCTCTTTGATTTTAGGTTGTGAGGGACAGATTCAACATTAGATAGGACAATAAAGAAAATGCAGCTGTGGTCACTCACATGAACCTCTTCAACATGTAAATGATTGATTTTTAGTCCCAAAGAGAAAACAGGATCTAGAGTGTGGCCCATTTTGTGTGTGGGGCCTGTGTTGCTCTAAGTTAAAAGACTCAGTAATAGACATGAACTCCACTGCTGTGCTACAATTAGGATCATTAATGTGTAAGTTAAAATCACCAAGGATTAAAACTGTTTCTAGTTTGATCAGTGAAGATAGAAAATCTGCTAATTCAGAGAGAAAAGGGCCAGCCGGACCAGGATGTCGGTAGATTAAAATACAGTGAAATACATTTTGTAACCTTGCTTTGGTGACCTGACATTCAAAAGTTGTAAAAGGGCCATTTTTCACCAGACATGTTTGTCTTTAAAGACCACAACAAGACCTCCACCACGACGTGCCGGGCGTGGTGTGGTAAACAGAGCAGTTTGGTGGACATATTTCATTGAAATGTACAAAATAGCCATCTTGCTGCCACGTCTCCGTAAGAAATAAATAGTCCAACTTTTCTCTGGTGAAAAGCTCATTTAAAATGAAGGATTTGTTTGAAATGGAGCCGGCATTTAACAGGGCACATTGAAATGAATCCTGGAGAACATTTGTCTTCTTAATCTGTTGGAGAGGGACGGGTTGTAAACATCTGGTGTTATGGGTTGTCCGGCCATGAATACAGTTTATGTCTTTGCTGGTTGGTAAATGAACCGGAATAGGGAAACTTTTGGGTTTGTCAACAGAAAACAACATTTTGGGAATTGTGACCTTTGGAAGATACACAGAAGACTGTTGCATCATGGGAGGACTGTAGGGAGTGATGTTATTTGAAGTGGAGGTTTGAGCAAAGGCCTAAGAAGGTGAAGATCTCTGGGATGTAAACCGTCATGTCTGTGGAAGGGAATCCACCATATGGGACTGCACTAGCCTGACAAGCCAGACTACATAAATGTATTATTTAGCCTGGCAACGCTTCATTGACGGCTCTCGGTTGTGGGGCGGGTTCTACCGTTGTCTTTGAAATGATCTCCACATGCTACTGGACAATGAATGTGACATGCTTACCGCAACAGCTATCGTAAATGAAGCGGTCCGCAGTTGAAGAAGGAGAAAACACATCATTTTTTCTAAAAAAAAAAAAAAGCACTTCAATACATCTATCTGCTCCTGATTCTAATGAAGCCCAAGTTCTAATAGTCCAAAATTGATGTAAAAGCCGTTTCAAACGAGCTGTCGCCATCATGTTTCACTCTGTTGCATCATCCCACTCACCAGGCATATAGAGTGCCCTGATTGGCCCACAAAGCAGATAAAGCTTTGTGATTTGTTCACTAAGCAGATAGAGCGCTATGAATGGCCCACCATTAAGGACCAATCACAGCTCTTTATGTGTTTGAAACCCCTCTAGAGAGCTGTGATTGGCCAGCCAGAATGATGTTAGGGGCTGCAGAGGTTCCAGTGGAGCGTTCCTAGACCAAACTTTGCAAAGCAAGAATTTGGTCTAGTTCACTAGGCTAGGACTGCACAGCATACCGGATGTTAGCGGTTAGCATGCTTGAGCCATGTCAGTTAGGGTGAATACCATCTCGCCTGAAAAGTGTCAGTTTTATTTCATCCTAGTAGATGATTTTCAGAACATGAAGACCAAGGTACACAAAGATGGATCTGTCTGTGTTTTTGTGTTGTTTTGGTCACTCATACATACCACAGCTAGAAGCGTGAACAGGTCTGTTGAGCATCATCTGAGTGCTAACAGGTGACATGAGCTCTTGCCATATTGTATGAGATGGTGCATAACTTTAACTTTATGTAGACACTCCTAATCACTATAACAATATAAATCACATGTGAGAAAAGCTAACTTGTGCAACATCTTAAACTGCAAACAAAATCGCACAAACCCACACATCTTTTCATGCATGCATTTAATCTATTAATCTAGATTTTAAATATATAAAATATTTACAGGCTATTATGACAGAGGATGACATTTTTTTCATTTCATAAATATACATTGGTGAATCTCACCCACTCATCCTCCGAATGTTTTACAAACAGATGTTAACACAGCACAAACAGGAAGCACATTCAGACCGTATGTTTACAGAGTCCAGCTTTTCCGCTTCGTGACACAATAAATGTGTACATTAGAACGATTTAGCTTGCTGGTTTGGGGAGATTATAGTCCATTTGTTGCAATAAGGTTTGTCTTAAATCCGTTAATTTTTCCCATGAGACTCAGAATTAGGAGAACATGAAGACAGAGGCTGTTTGCAGATGTTTGGTGTTGATCACTAGGCAGCAGTGGAGACTTCTGTCTTACTGGCTGAGACTGAGGTCTCATCTTCAACCATGCCGCCCATTCCAATAGTAGAAAGCATGCAGTTACGGAACTAAAAAGAAAAGAAGGAAAAATTAAATGAATCTTTCTGATATCATGGGCTAAAATCCATTCAGCAGAAATTAACAATTCAACCCTTTGCATGTATCCTTCTTTGGATCTCTGACCATTGGCAAAACAGCCAAACAACTTACCTGCTTGTTCATCAGAATGTAGATAACAGGATTGAACACTGCTGAGCTCTTTGAGAAGTAAGCAGGGATGGCAAAGGCCATAGGTGAGAAGGCAGCTCCCCTGTTGAAGAAAATCCACGCAGCGAAGGAAGCGTACGGTAACCAAGCCATTAGGAAACCAAACACCATCAGGATACACATGCGTGTCACCTCCTTCTCAGCTTTCTGAGTAGAAGCTGAGTCCTGCTGCTGAGCTGCAGCCTGCAAATGAGTTCAACAGCAGTTAGGTGTCATGGTCATGCAATAAAAAGCTAGACTATTGTTTCCATTTAGACAAAACAGCACATTACTGAACAGATCCTAAACTAAAACCACCAAGGGTGTTTTACACTGAGAATCTGGGATTATGCATCCTTCAATGTGTGAAGATTTGTCATTTAACTGAGCTGAGTTCTCATTTGAACTGCTGTCTTGTTGCTTGAGACAGAGGACGCTTTTGGACATTTTCAGGAGACCAAACCCTTAAAAACGACAGCTCTACATACTGCACATGAGCTGCTTTTCTTTTTTAATATCTAAATAACCTTTTAACATGCACTTTTAAAGATGATTGAGAAATATGTGATCTTAAACACTTACAGCTTTGACTGTCATAACGAGACTGCCATATGTGAAGAAGATTATGCTGACGGGTACACAGAAGTGGCAGGTGAACATATATATGACGTATGATTCATTGTTGAAGCCGGGGGCCAAGGTGTAATAGTCAGGTCCACAGGAAATCTGTAGGCCCTCTGGGATATACCTGTGGAAACACAACCGTGTTGTGTTGTTGTAAAACAGATGTGCCCATAAAAACTGGAAGAGAAGCCTCTAAACACACTTAAAGCAAAAACAAGATGCCACTGATACAAAACTACAATAAGGATATCCTGCCTACAATTGTACTAACCATCATCTAAAGCTGCATGTTGCTACGTTTGCACATTTGTGTTTGCTTTTCTGCGTGACCTCCTTCCCCCCTTTTTTCATCTGCTTCTCTGTCTTTCACTTACAGCCACAAAAAATATAAATATTTCTGATAAAAAAACATGAACAAAAGGACATTTAAAAACATCCAATTTCCATTTCAGAAGCTGTTTGTGAATAAACGTGCCATGCAATCCAATTTGAGGACTTATCTCACCTCGACCAGCCAAACAAAGGAGGAACAGCACAGGAGAGTGCCATTATCCAGGTAAATGCACAGCCTATCGCAGAATGAGTGGCAGTAAACTTGAAACTACCCATTGGTTTACAGACCACTATGTATCTCTCAACAGCTAGGACCACAAGAGACCACAGAGACACTTCACCTGTTAAAGACAAAAAAATATAGAGCATCAATTGTAGATTTCAGCTTCATTTGTAAGAAAGTTGTTGGTAAAAAAAAAATAAAAACTATGTGTAAAGTTTACCTCCAATTGTAGCAAAGAGACCTTCCAATGCACAGCTATTAGGCCCCAAAGCAAAGTAGCCATTCATGGCAGAATAAATGGTGATTGTGAATCCAAAGATGGCCATGATCAGTCCAGCCACAGCCAAGTTCACCAGGATGTAGTTGAGAGGTTGTCGGAGCTTCTTGTTCTGAGCCGTGACCACCAGTGTCAGAGCATTGATGGGGAAAGCAGTCAGCAAGAGGAAAACCATGAATAGACCCATCAGTTTGAAGTGCCATGGCTCTGCTAAATAATACTGTGGATATTCAAACGGACTCCTCGCGAGCCCCGACCGGTTGTTCATGGGGATGTAGAAGTTCTTGCCTTCTGTACCGTTCTCCATCTTTGTAGGCTGAGATCTGAATTGAGCAGAATAGAGTAACCCTAGAGCTCCGTCTATACAGCTGTCTCTGTTCTCCAACTTCTTACATGGAGCCATGGTTTTATACCCCTTGGGCACGTTATAAGAAGTTGAGCTAAGAGGATCTGGGAATTCAGCCCATAATCTCTCAGTATAATCACTTGTTGATTAGTGATCTCTTTTTTCTAGTTTTATAGGGCGTGTTTCTTCAACAGAAGTGTGAAAGTCATTTTTATCCTTATGGGACATTTCCAGTTTCTACTCTTTGTTTTTTCCTCTTTTGGTAGCATTCATCAAATATGTCATTTTTTTTAAACTGAAAGAACTTCCGAGGTCAGCCATTAATACTTAGGAAGACACGTTCTGAGCAGTGTTTTGGATTTCTCCTGAATCAAGGGTCTTTAACCACAAGGTGTGTAAACAAATTAAATTGAATAATGTGCCACAACTTGTTGTTATGTCTTCAGCAGAATTAAAGGAAGACCCTGTTTGAAACCCCTTCATCACGATCCATTTAGATGGGTTGCAGTTACTAAATAGGATTTCACAGTACGGGTCTGTAAATCCACATTGCAGGGAGAAAGAAATAAAATGTGGGAGAATATCACATAAATGAGTTCAAAGGTTTATACAACTTGTGGAATATAATCAAGATATTCTTCTAAAAACGAATTTTTGTTGGAGAGATTTCGTATGATCAACATTGTGCAGTTTTCATTTCTAGAGGAAGTCTGTTCCATAGGTTCGGAGTCACGTGGGATTGGAGGAATCAAACAGAAGCCAGCCATTTTTTATTTCTACTTTTTCCTTTGGCGCTCCATTGAGACCAGGGGGATGTGACCTAGAACTGAGCATCCCTCCATCCCAGCGAACCAGTTCACAAATAAAAAGCAACAGTCTCCGGACGCATTCTCATCCAACCAGCCACCTTTTATTTCTGCAGCTCATCAACAATAAACCAATGAAAAAAATAGATTTTCTCCAGTCGTGTTCCAGTTCACATATCATCTATTCTTTTCTGTGTTCATAAACCTAACCCTTAATAACCTGGATGTCTCATCAAATAGGGAACATCATGACATAAACCACTTACTGAGATGGAAAGCCTCCATCACCAGTGTTCTTCAACGTACTGATCTCAAGCACCACCAACAAAAGCCAGTTACTTATTGCAAGATGCTTTTGAAACTATATTCACAATGAAACCGTAAACGCTCAAAAACACAAGTAGTTTCAATTGTTTGAAAGTTTACCAAAAAGCTTCCGACAATGACGCGCTTGTTATGGCCGCCACTGTTTTGCGCTGCTGAGATGCGTGTTCAGCCTCCTGTGCAGCTACTAGGACAGCTGCTTCTTGTAGGCGGCCAGCTCTGATCCAGGGCCATGGACAGCACCAGAGCTGGGGTCATTTCCAGCTGAGCTGCATTGAGCCTCCTCCTCAAAAGCAGCCAGCTGCAGTTCATCGGGGGAAGAGAACTGTTTTGTGGTTACAGCAGTAACATTGGTTCTTGGCTTTGGTCTGGGATGGTGACAGCTTTTTTGATCTTAAATTTTGATTGAGTTTAGTGTTTTGTAGCCTTTTAGTCATTTGAGATAACTTCTGGTAATTTGGTCAATCTTGTTTGTTTGGCTTTTAGAGAAGCCTTGTTCCATTACCTTTTTAGAACAGCCTTTTTATCCAGAGTCCTGAAAAGGTATCGCCTTTGTCTACTTCAGAGGGAGTGTAGTTATTTAGGCGCTATTTGTCTGACTTGTGAAAACCCCATTGCTAAGGATAATTAGAGTTTGGTTTTGCCTCTGCCCTTTTGGCATTTGAACTTGGTTTGGCTCTTACGTTTTTTTTTTATTATAACCTTTTCCCCCTTTTGGGGTAAATTTCAGTTGAGGGTTAGTATATTTAGATTTAGTTCAGGCTTTTACCTTTAGTTCCCATTCTCTCCCTCTTAGGTTAAATGAACAACACACAAATAAACCTTTTGTTAATTTAACATCTGGCTCATCGTTTTTTATGTTACCTCCTTCTCACCTTCCTAGCTGAGTCTACAGAGGGGGTGTAACAGCGCTCACTCATAGAGACCATTTAGAGTCACCAATTAGAGCTGCTTCAGCAATATAGAACAAGCTTCAGGTTTTGAACACAAATACGATCACGAAACACTCACCCCTCCTTTCGGGTATCTTCCATGATAGAACCATGCCAGAACTGGACACCCACATTTCAAGAGGAAACAGGATATTGCTAAAGAGTAAAGACAAGTCACCATTTTCTAGGTCCAAACAACTTTTGTTGTCCATGACTTCAAATGGTGTTTTTCTTTTGGGGACTCTGGTTGTTTTTCCTAAAGATGAAGCAGTGGCAGTCAGCTGTTTCTCCTTATCTGGTGTTAATGAGTCGAGAACATCTCACACAAGTGTTGTTCTGTTGCTAAATACGCAAGTGTGTAATGTTTGGAGGACCGAGGGAAGTGTGGAAGTGCAAGACCAACAACCGGATGGTCCAAAAGTTGCTTTTGCGAGAGAATCACTTCACTATCTTTTCACAAACACTAACCCATTTCCATACTTGTAGCTATACTGTATTAGAATGCTTTTAAGAGGCATAAAACATTTTTATGCTCATTTATTTTCCAAATTTGCCATTGCAGCTTTAACCCTAACATGTATGAGAGGCTGCAAACTTTGTTCACTATTGACCCATTTACAAATCAATCATAATGAGGTAGTAGGTTTCTGACTTGTTTAATGAATTAAGAGCCTGATCCCTGCCACCTGGCAGCGAAGCTAACACTGGGACATGGAGCCAAGGCAATCCGGACTCTCTTAAACTGATGATTTAATAGGATCCAGCTACTTTAAATAAGATTGAATTATGGACGAGCAGGCATACGTCTCCTCTATTATGGTAAATCAGTTTGTATCTTTCAACATGTCCAACTTTAAAACTATGGCTCCAGATGCAACGTCCTCCTGAGACTTGTGTTTTGTTCATGAGACGTAAAATCTTTATAGACATAATTTTTTAAATCAAAATTAGTCCTTTAATTATTGGCTTTAGATATAGTCATAGCAATTATGTTTCTAAGCATATTTTTGTACTGGTTTATTAAAATGTATGAATGCTGCAGTTTGGTCTAAACCAACAAAGTTCTGTGTCTGCAGCTCACCGCGCCACGGGGATGGGTCCAACACAGAGGACAATTTTCACCACACATCAGTGTGTGTGACAACTATGGGACTTTTACTTTAACTTTGGTCTTCAGAAGTTGGGTTTAGTTTTCATACCCTTGGCAAAAGGCTGTTAATGACTCAATGTGTTGTTGGGCAATTATTTATGCACATCACATAAGATCTGTCAGTCTGACATTTGTTGATTACAGCAACATTTTCTGCATGTTTAATACACAGAAGCTAAAGATCTGTGGAAAAACTGCAAGTAAACACGAGTGGACATTTGGTTTCATTTGCGGTTTTCCCACTGATTAAATCAGGTAACTATAAATCCCTGGTCTTACAATTTCTGCTAACAAACATGTAATTGAAACAATTAGCTGCCTTGAATTATAGGGATTCTGATACCTATTTAAATAACTAGATTACTGGCTGTAGTTACTCGACCCGTCTGGAGATGGATGACATTTGGGAGCACCCGAGGTAATCCCTTTACAAGTAGTTCCTTTCTGAAGGGAGGGAAGTAATCTTACACCAGTAGATTCAACATCTCATTAAACTGGTACAATTTGAAGAGAAAACACTCGTCACGCTTTAAAATCCTTCAATTACCTCACAAGTAGTTTGGGATTTAACTATACCTGTAAGCAGTTTACTTATTTCTTAATCCAACTGAGAGCCGTATGTGTTCCTGTGCTGATTGATGTTTTATTAGGATTACTTAAAGGTTAAAGTCCCATTAGTCATCACACACTGGTGAAATTCATCTCTGCACGTGACCCCTCCCCGTGGGGAGCGGTGAGCTGCAGCGGGGAGCTGCAGAGGTGAGCTGCAGCGGTGGCTGCGCTTGGGAACTATTTGGTGGTTTGACACCCCCCCCCCCCCCCCCCCCCCCCCCAATCCAACCCTTTAAAGCTGATGTCAAGCAGGAAGGCATTGGGTCCCACTTTTAAGGTCTTTGGTATGACCCGACCGGGATTCGAACCCACAATCTCGTGGTCCCAGGGTGGACACTTGTGGTGCATGGGGTGTGAGGAGGTGGTGAGATTGTGCAAAGGTCAAAGAATCAATCGAGATTCATTTTGTGATCCTGACATCACCTTTTTAAAACAATCACAAAATTGTATTTGGACTTTAAATTAAATAAAATCATATAACATATCAAATGTGCAAATACATAATAACATTTGCATTAATAGGCAAGTTATCTTGTCCAAATTAATCTTTTAGCAGTTTCATCCTCATTTTATTTACAGTTGTTTTGTCACAATTCCTCTAATGCAGTACTAGTCCCACTTGTCTTGTTGTTGCCTCTAACCTCGCTCAAACTTATCCTACAATTCTCCTTCTGTCTAACTTGTGTAAACTAAAATGAGGCGAGATCCAGATGAACACAAAGGCATGAGTATTGGTGTTGTATTGCTTATGAAACACTCTTCCCAGATACATCATTCTCTTAGCGTATGTTAATATTTCTACTGTTAATTATTATGCTTATTATAACACTTGATTATTTTATTATAACACTTGATTACTTTATTTGACTTGATTGTATTTTATTGAAGTCACTGGTATACTGCCTTGCATTAGAACATATTTTCTGTGTGTGCTGTGTGTTTTTAAACTCTTTTGTACACCACGTGTCACACTAAATGACAGCTTAAATGAATATTGCATCTTAAATTACATCTTTTGTTGTCCGAGACTTCAAATGATGTTTTTCATTTTTGGGACTCTGGTAGTTTGTCCAAAAGTTGAAGTGATAGCAGCCGGCTGTCTCTCCTTCTCTAATGTTATCGAGCAGAGAATCTCTC